AAAATTGCCTTCTTTAGGCCCATAGGAGTCCATTGCAGCCTGGTTTTTTCCAGCCTTCTAGCAAGAGGAAGGAGCAAAACCTTTCCTGTTAGAGGGAACATAGTGAAGGGTCATGGCAGTTCCAACATGTATTGTTCTAAACTCAGCACTGTCAGGCAGGCTGGCCTTCTTGGTACCTGTGGCAGATGCTATTGGCCAGGGGAAGCAGGAGGGGATGGGTTAGGATATCGGTTAAATCAAGAGGGATGATATTAGCAGGAGGGTTGTAAGCAAGACACAAGCAGTAATTCTTCCGCTGTACTCCACGCTGATTAGGCCTCAACTGGAGTATTGTGTCCAGTTCTGGGCGCCACACTTCGGGAAGGATGTGGACAAATTGGAGAAAGTCCAGAGAAGAGCAACAAAAATGATTAAAGGCCTAGAAAACATGAGCTGTGAGGGCAGATTGAAAAAACTGGGTTTGTTTAGTCCGAAAAAGAGAAGATTGAGGGGGGACATGGTAACAGTTTTCAAACAGATAAAAGGTTGTTACATGGAGGAGGGAGAAAAATTGTTCTCTTTAGCCTCTGAGGATAGGACAAGACGCAATGGGCTTAAATTGCAGCAACGGCGGTTTAGGTTGGACATTAGGAAAATAGTTCTGTCAGAGTGGTTGGGCACTGGAATAAATGGCCCAGGGAGGTTGTGGAATCTCCCTCACTGGAGATTTTTAAGAGCAGGTTGGACAAACACCTGTCAGGGATGGTCTAGATAATACTTAGTCCTGCCTTGAGTGCAGGTGACTGACTAGAAGACCTCTTGAGGTCCCTTCCCATCCTATGAGTCTGTGATATACTCTAGGAGCTAAGCAGGGGGATTGGGCCCCTCTGATTTATGGGTTCTAGGCCCCGCACCGAACGGGAGCAATCACTTCCCCTCTGTGCCTCTCAGCTTCTCCCTCTGTCAAATGAGGACGGTTATACTGACCTGGGGAGGGCGTCAGGCTTAGAGACTGGCTTTGTAAAGTGCATTGAGATCCTCAGGGGAAAGGAGCTAGAGCAGGGTTCTCAAACTTTTGCACTGGTGACCCCTTTCACACAGAGAGCCTCTGAGTGCGCCCCCCCCCTTATAAATGAAAAACACTTTTAAATATATTTAACACCATTATAAATGCTGGAAGCAAAGCAGGGTTCAGGGTAGAGGCTGACAGCTCGCGACCCCCCCATGTAAGAACCATGCGACCCCCCCTGAGGGGTCCCGACCCCCAGTTTGAGAACCCCTGAGCTAGAGAAAAGCAAATCATTTGGCCGAGATCTTAAAAAGTGCCTCGTCCCAGCATTTTAACAGTCCTTGGGCATTGCTCTGCGCAGTTCCCACGTTCAGCTCTTACGCCGGGGGAACTCCCTTGATGTCATTGGAGTTACACCCTTGGTTTGACCCAATGTAAATGAGATCCGAATCAGGCCCACCAGCTCCTTTCTGCTCCATTCCAGCCCCTACTTTTGCTGCGGGTTAAGGAGCAGGGAGTGTCTGCTTGGGCTCTTTGATCTCTGGGGAGCTCATGTTTTATTCTCTCTCGTCTTCCCCCACTCCCATTTACATAAAAGGAGTGAATGGGGGAGGAGGGGGAGTCCACCGCAGGCCGGTAGACCCAGAACTTTGGGGTGCATCCCCCCGTTCACTGGCTGATTGTGCTGCAGAGTAAATAGGGGGATTCCAGAGACCTCCTCGGAAGCAAATGCCGACTGAGTCCCAAGGACAGCAGCCTCTGATTTTGCTGGGGTAGAAGTGGGGGAAACCTGTAAGTTGCAGAAGTTAGAAAGAGGAATCCGTTTGCAATCTGGAAGTGTAACCTCAAGCCCAGCGGCCCCCCAGTGCTGGAGCCTGGCTAGAATCTCGTCTCTTTGCCAAAACAAGCCTTTGAAGTCTGCCCAATCCATTTTTCATTTGCTTTGCTTTTACCTGCTGATCTCTGTGGCTCAGGCTTGCGAAGTCAGGGTTCCTGCGAGGCACCTGGCGCTCTGATTTCAGAGTAGCAGCCGTGTTAGTCTGTATCCGCAAAAAGAAGAACAGGAGTACTTGTGGCACCTTAGAGACTAACAAATTTATTAGAGCATAAGCTTTCGTGGACTACTACAGCATATGCATCTGAAGAAGTG